AATAACCTCACCCCCATTTTATTTATTAAAATGACCCATTTACTATTTAAGGTGAGAAATCGGTTGGGAGAACCAATTTCTCACCTTCAGTTTTTATAACATTGAAAAGTTTGCAGTGAGAAATACATAAACAAAACAACCTTTCACTAACAACAAACTGCAAACAATCTATCGAAAATACGTTTCTACAATGTCACAAACATGTTCATGGTAGTTCATGTAAAACTTAAAACAACAGGCCAGCAATTAATGCAACTTCAAAGCATCGCAAGTTGCATCAATAAATGCTAACCATATTATTTAACTAAACTCAGGCGAAGCAGCGAAACAATTAACTATGCTGACAGTATCAGAATTTCTTGATAAAATCATAAATGTGATTGCTGACATCCTCTGCAGCTTCTTGATTGTTAAAGTGAGCAACCCCTTCTTGCACAACCACTTCTTCCAAATTTGGCACATCTTTCTTAAATGCACCGCTCTCTATATAGTCCTTCGTCCCTAGTGAAGTGTATACTACATCCAAATCACCTGTAATGAACTTCACCGGAACTTTGACTTGCGCTCCAGTCCATGGTGCTGCGAGTTCCCAATTTCTGTAAATATAATATGTACAATGTCAATAGTAGAATAAGCTACAAACCAGTAAAATGTATAGGTTTTTAAGTGAAGACTAAATTTCTATATCTTTCAGTTTCAAATTAGGGCATTCCATATATAGGAACTTACAGGTTGAGATTTCTATAGTAGTTGAGGCCCCCAGTGAAGCCTGACTTTTCAAATTTAGAAGCATAATATGTAACGTCCTCTTGTGAGAGCCAAGAGGGCAGGGGCGTTGAATTGGGTTGGGAACCTATTCCTCCTGCTCTCAAGATCGGTGGCCCAGGTCTCCGACTTGTAAGCATGTTCTTAATTACATTTTCAAAGCCTCTCTGGGCAAACCCAGCTTCTGCATGGCCTGGTTCCTGTCACACGATTTAGGTTCAACAAACATATCTGTCATCACAACTATGATCAACTTAATTATCACTTACTACTTGGATTATGGCGTGAACCAGGGAATAGGATCGGTGAAATTAACACCAATTTCCAATTTATGTTACATGCATCCTTCTACAATACATACCTGACCAACACTTCATACCTTTTCTTTTTCTTGTCTACTATCTGACTTAAATATGACATCAGGTTTGGAACAACAGGATGTCGCAGCATCAGGTTTGGAAAACAAATACGAACGGGATGTTGAACTTGAAGCTAAAACTACAATTTTGCATGAAGTTCAAGCTAAAACAAGAATTAAAATTGCATAAACATTTTCGTATTAAATATAATTTTGCACACATAATTTAATCCAAAGTCACACTCAATTATCCAACACATCTCACTCATGCCAAATCTGGAATGTGAAGTTTCTATTCAAGTGGTTTTATAAAAGGTTTGATAGAAGTGACTTGATAAGGTTAACAATAATCACCACCATAAACTCCAATATCATTTTAAGAAATTGAATCAACTCAAACTCAATCTTACAAAACTAACGTGTAAGATGTAAGATGTGGATAGTTATTGAGTGCACTATTACAGTTAAATATACCAATTCGGCAAAAGGTGAGATCTCGGACATGTTGACCATAATTACTTCAAAGTGCAAAGCTTTAGATGAAACAGAAATTGGAAGCATGGAAGTAATTTTGGTAGTTTCCAGTTTTGTAATTAATGAGGTTGAAGAGAGGAAGCATAATAAAAGGTAGTAAAGGCAGGGGAAGGACAAGAACCTGGAATCTGCAGATGTAGTAGTCATCCCCATATAGGGCCCGCATGGCATCAACGGGCCTCATTTTTGGGTTTCTGGGCATGAAAGGGACGCTGAGGCAAACATAGGCCTTAATTCTGTCGGGCCGAAACAAGCAGAGGTACCAACCTACGATGGCACCCCAGTCATGGGCCACCAGGAACACTTGATCGACGCCGAGCGTGTCGATGAGTGCAACGATGTCACCCACCAAGTGAAACACCGTGTAGCTGCTGGCCGATGTGGGAGCCTCCGTGTCCCCGTAGCCGCGGAGATCGGGAGCGACGGCGCGGTAGCCGAGGGAGCTGAGAGCCAGAATCTGGTGGCGCCATGAGTACCAGAGCTCCGGGAAGCCGTGGAGGAACAAGACGACGGGACCCTCGCCTTTCTCCGCCACATGCATTTTGATGCCATTCACTTGCACGCTTCTGTGCACTATGCCTTCCATGTTTTGGCTTATTGATGGATGGATTTGACCAAAAGGGTGAATGAGTGCAGCATTCAGAGCTGAATCACTCGCATTTAAACTATTTAACTATTTAACTATTCACTCCACAAATTTAATACCACCGCTGTTATCCCCAAACAACTCATTTAATCCTCACCTTTAAAACACCTATCGCTATCGGATTATTATAATTTTTTTTTTACCTAAATTACACCGTTTAAAATTTAATTTAATATATTCTATTTCTCAATAATTTTAATTATTCTTTTCAAATTATCTTTAGCATCTCATTTATTTTATTATTTTTTATTTATTTAATTCATATTTAAAAGATAAAAATATGTGTATGTTTATTTATCTTTTCTAATTTTAATAAGATGATCATTTTTAAATATTTAGTATTGGTTATCTATAAAATTATTAACTAATTCAAATATTTTAGAAAATAATTAATTAATCAATTAACAATTACAAATGATCTTATAAAAAAAATAATAAAAATGGATTTGTCATACTAAATAAGATCTTAAAATATTAAATACATTTCTAAATTTAATTATTTCCTATTAACTTAGATTTTAAATATATGTTAATAATTTATTATTTTAATCGCGTAGTTTTTAAGTTTTCGGATACTATTATGAGAATAGTTGTGTCTACAATACTTAAATATAAAATAATTTTGTATTAATTAATTTACGGATTCAGTGGTAAAATTTTTAAGATAAGATTAAAATTCGCAATTTTTACCTTCCAAAACAACATTTAATTACTAAGCTAATAATTTTCTTTAGATTTTCAAATATTAAAGTTTTAAGGATTTGTTGAATTTTTAGACTTGTCAAAGAGTATTCATTTATGATATTGTGGCTAATAATAATCTAAAGAGTTTTCATACATAATAGATATTAAATATGAAATTTCTTATGAAATACTGTGAAAAGTGTAATCACTGCATAACTCATTAAATTAAGCCTTACTTTAACTATTACAAGTATTAAATAATCAAATTACAAGTATCATTTGATAAGTATCTTTATTGTGTGTTTGGATGAGGAATTTATATGAGGTAATTCATTTATTTGAAGAATTTCAAATTTCTTGAAGTGAAATGCTTTGTTTGGACGAGGAATTTACAAAGAATTTGAAATCCAAGCATTTGTGAAATTCCTTAAAATAATATAATTTTAAATTCTCTCAAAAATGGGAGAATTTGAAATTTCTCATATTTGTTTTTCTTATTTCACCTATATATTTTATCTTATCTCTTCATTCTTTTAATTATTAGATATTCAAAAATATTTTTAAAATTATTAAATATTATCTTATATTAATTTTTAAAATTATTAAATATTTAAAAATGGATTAATATTTATTTTTATAAAACTTAATTTAAAAATCTCAACATATAAATATATTTTTAAAATCAATTTTACTATGATGGAATCAAATTATCATATTCAACCTAATAATTTAAAATTTAAGAAATTTGAATTGACTCATCCAAACAAAATATTTTAAGAATGATAGAAATTGAAATTAAAGTAATTCAAATACCAAAAATTTAAAATTCCTTAAATTTGTAAAATTCTTCATCCAAACACACTATTAAGGTTTAATACATTATTTAATCCTAAAATATGTTGAGAATTTTCTATTGAATTCTTAAAAGAAACTGAATTGTGATATTGGTAGTATTTCCAATTTTAGGAACGTATAAATTTATTTAAATGTATACTTTCTCAATGTCTTAAAACTTCCTTACCCCTTTTTTTTACATAATATTGGTATATAAAATACTTATCACATAAATTAATAACTAATAACTAATCTTTATTAGTGATCTTACAGAACGTGAATATACTCTTTTCAATATAGTTTGTTTTTCTTTATAAAAAAAAAAAACAGTTTATTTTTTACTTAAAATTAGGATTCAAATCGTAAATAATTTAATTAAGAGACATAGATAAATGTCATTAGCGTCACTCAATATTTATACTCCATTAATTACATTTAGATTAAAGAAAAATGTAAAATTAAAATATAAAAATTTCAATAAAACTATAAATAATACTCTAAAATAGACTAAACCTTCAAAACATAATTTTTTAATTTAAATATAATTAAAATAATCTTTTATCAAAATTATAAGTATCTTTCATCATCAAAGATAATATTGCTCTAGTATGGTAAGAACTATTATGAATGACAAAATTCTTTTTTTAAGTAATTAATATAATTACATATTGAGTACTCAAATTAGATATCACTAGTTAAATTGAAATAACTCTATCGATTGATTTACATGTTCATCAATATAATTATAATAATTTAAAGATAAAGATAATTTAAATGTAATAAAAAAAACAATGTAAATTATTTTAATTAAAGAAAATATTTCATGTTTAATTAATAAATTTTAATAAAATTTCCAACGTATTAAAAAAATAGCATTTAAGCCTGTTCATTACCGAATGCATTTAAAATATATATAGTTTTAAATCAACGATGGACAAAATTATGGCTTGGTGCCTGTCCTAGCAATTAGCATCCTTTTCAAAGAAAGATCACACTTTATTATAGAATGATTCGTGTTTTATTAAAGAAAGTTGTCTTTTTACCTTGTAATGCTGTTTTACAAATTTATTAGGTAAAGTAGACTATTTTGAAGCTAGATGTGATTTAAGTGATACCTAATAATTCTTTTTTAAATGAAGAAAGAATATGTTATATTTGATAGCATTTAAGTTGAGTTGTTATCTACTGTAATGATACAAAATAACTTATTCTTTATTGTTATGGTTTACAGTGATTCAAATTTTAATTTAATTTAATTTATTTTTTTAAAGTGTCGTTATAAGTCACAATGATCCATATTTTTTTTTATAGAGGTCATTATAGATTATAATATTTTTTATTTATTTAGAGGTCATTATAACCTATATCACTTTTTATTTTGAAAAATAATAGAAATGATATGAGATATAATCAGGGACGGAGCCAGGATTTCAATACTGGGGGCCGAGAATAAATTCTAAAGTGATACCACATAGCAGGCCGTACCAGAAGTCCAAAAGTTGAATAAAAAAATAAATTTGGGTTATTCATTTAATTATACATATGAGTTTATATTAAAAATAGGGGGTGCCATATAGTAATATATATGTATATAAAAAAAAATTAAAATTGTTGGGGGGGCCGTGGCACCCGTAGGTCCCCCCTTGGCTCCGTCCTTG